TTGAATTTACTTTTGATTTTATAGATAACTGTTATGAAGTTATAAAAGGCTGTTGAATTTGATTGAATAAGTAGGATGTAGATAGCAAGTTGATTTGTGCTCTTTCACTTTGCTTGAGGATTGATTTGAATCGGGATTTGTAGTCTTCTTATATGAGTGAAATCTTTGATCCGATTCGATTCCTATGTCGATTTGTTCGATAATCACTGTTACGGATGACGTACGTTAGGTTTCTCTCGTTTTTTTTTATTAGGTATTAATCTCTTGCTGACTCACTTTTATTATTGCTTCGTCGCTGTTTGGGCAAGGTTGTTGTTAGGATACGTTTGCGGATGTAAAATGGATGGAATCGATCCTGATCTGGTGGCGAGTGATTAGAGTAATGGTCAGTGTTCTTTCTTCGAAGTAATTGTTTTCGATATGGTGGCTTGAGAGAAGTCAGGTTTCCAAAAAAAATACTAACTGATTTTTATTTTAATTACTGAATCGAAGGACTGGTGAGCTCCGATCCCGGAAATTCCAAAAACTTCTCAGTTTTGATTGATTCCCCTTGGTGAGTCTTCTTGCTGATTGGTTTTTCTGAACGTTCGTCCAACTCGATATCCTGAAATCAATATTCCTTTTCTTTGTCGTCGATATGATGCGTTGAAAGGAGTAGTTCCTTTTATTTTAGGATCTACGTAAGTCCTTTATCTGGGATTTTCGAAATTTGAGCTCTTGTATATGTAACTACCCGACTCGTCGGTTCTGTAGTAGAACCTGCTCGACTGTTCAGTGTAATGTGTAAAGAAAAGGAGAGATTTGCTACTTTCGAGATTATAGAACACTGTACTTGTGAGTGTGTTTATTAAAAAAAATGGTGAAAATTGATATGAATTTTTTTTTGGAACAATCAATAACTTGGAAGAATATTTGTAATTATTATAATCCAGTTTTATGATTGATTTTAATGGGTGTTATGTTTGATATGAACTGAAATGAGTAAAAAGTTGGTAGTGACTTATCTTACTAGTCACTTTGTTATTATGTATTTTGTTTTGTGATATCTACTATTTCTTATTTTGTCTAGTTTATTATGAAATCTCACACTTTTGGTTAACAAAAGGTTATTTAAGGTTGAGGTTTTTGGGTTTCAACACGATGAGGCCCCCAAATGTGAGGGTTGGGTACTCAGTTGAGGACTCAAGGCTCACTAGATGGCTAAGGAAGGTTTGCAATTTTAATAATTATCTTTTAGATTTCAATTATAAAGTAATTACAATTGGAAATTTAAGAAAGAAAAGAAAGGGGGGAGAGAAGACTGGTCTGTTTGGATAAATCCAGACAGACTACAGTTAAATGACTCCTGAAAAGGAGATTTTAAATATAATTATAATTAATTATAACTGAAAACTGGATCCAAGGTTTTCCTTCAAACCTCTATTGACAGTATGAAGAGTGAGGTTTAGATCACTACACTGGTTGTTCTTATGGTCACCAACCTTGGGTTGTTCTTATGGTCACCAACCTAAGTACTTATATATAGGCCACTACCCTGTGAGTTGTTGAAGGTCACTAACCTAGTAAATAATCTACTTGGGGAAAGTAGAGGATCCAGAAAATAGTTGAAGGGTGTATTACTTACTTTTAGTCAGGAACTGTTTAAAGTAGAGAAGTAAATCACTAGTCTTAATTTATAAGACCCTTGATTATGAACTTCTATATTACTTTAAAGATGTTCTTTAAAAGTGATGTGTAATAAAAGCTTGGGGATCCCTCTCTGAAGGCTGAGAGAGGAGGAGTTTATATACTCTCCTCTCCAGACCTAACTGTAGTGATATTTGTTTATATCACTGCAGTGGTTTAGGGTTTAATTATTACTGTTATTTATGATTATTATTAATACTACATAATTACATATACCTGTTATGTAATTTATGTAGTATAAGCATTTTTAACTCTTGACACTGAGTTATGAGGTGTTATGAGTGTTTTATTACATATTACATATGATTTTAAATGTATATGTATATGTAATTAGGTTGTATATACGGTTTATTACAAGTTACATATGTTTTGTAGGGTTTATGTACATGTAATTAGTTGTCTAAAGGTGGTTATCTATGTTACAAGTTAGTCTTTGGGTACATACATATGTATCCAGGGCTGACATAGTCCTTGAGTATTGCTCATATCAGATTTGGGATTCATCTGATATAAGAAACTCTAAATCTACGGGGAAATCTCTATTAGTCAGAGTGTAAAGTTCCCGGTGTTATAATAGACTGTAACACCACCTTCTTTGACCTTTCTTTGAATAAGAAGAGGATCAATTTAGGATTGAGAACTGTGCGTCAGTTGCTCTTATATTTAATTATTGTAAAGACAATAATTAACCCAAAATCCCTTGACTAAAGCCTTTGTTTAAAGGTCAACTAACTGTAGTCTTTACTTGTTTATTGCAAGTAAAGCTCTTACACCCAAGTCTATACCCATTCATACTAGTAGATATTGATCTACACGACTTTGGTAGAAATTATCAGACCTTCTACAACTCTTTTATTGACTCTACTAGCCTAACAGACGCTAGTAGGCTCACACTCACCAGATTCCCAATCACGCTTTTCTTGAAGTAACCAACAACATTTGATTGGTGCTTTGCTGGCCCATCCTCATAAATCCTATGTT